GGATGCACCGAGCCGGGCCAGAATCCAGCACCCTCTGGTGTCCTGGAGGACCAGGATAGATGTGGGACAGACTAGGCAAGGTCTCAACTCCTACTAAGCCATCTGTGAACCATATGTGGGTATGGATGAGCCATGGCTGGGCTGAAACATCCAACAGCAAGGACCAGTTTGGGTTGAAGGCCAGTCAAGAAAAGCCACTGTTCCTGCTATGACAGGAGGTGAACTGAGTAGGCTGGCTCATGGCCCCACTGGTATGTGCAAACTCTGGCATTGGGAGAGGTTCTGATGGAGGAGCCTGGCCAACTCCTCTGTCAGGACACAGACCCTGCAGGTAAGCGCAAGAAACATGACAGGAAAAGCCCAGACCAGGCCAGGGAAAGTTACACACTGGCACACATTTGGCAGGGGTTGGGGGAAGATCAGGCTGAATCTGTTCACATCATCCGCTGGCAAATCCAAGCACCAGAACAGTGTGGGTCGAGCCGGGTTCGGTGGCGACAAAGACCAGTGCACAATATGGAATGCCAAGGTGAGGTTGCCTGTACTGGATGTCACCGCAGCGCCCAACCAGCACACCTGAGAATCAGGAAGGGAAGGGATGGAGCTGGCAGGGGAATAAGGGTGGTTCCTTTGCTGGACAGCTACTCTCACTGGAGAGCATGGGCTGGGATGGGGGCAAACCAGACTAAGCAGGGCTACAACACCTGTGCCTCATGTGGACTAGATCAGGGAAAAGCCAGGCTGGGCTGATTATTTCTACTGTTGCAAACAAAATTAGAGTGGGTGAGGGTTATTTGGCCTTAGCCACAGCATCAGCTGGAAGAAGCTGGCACTGGGGACCTAGTTCTGTCAAGTCAAACCATAGAACTACCTGGAGAGTGCATAATCCGGGAGTGGGAGAGACCTGGGAGGGAAATAGTGGGCTCCTCCATCTTGGGTTACCACTTTCACAAGAGGGCATGAAAACCAGGACAGGGGCTGGGGTGGAATGGGGTGTGAGACAGACTGGACTACTGCTACACATACTGGCAATCCAGGGTAGGGGGCGGGCCTGGTGGGGGTTATTGTGGGTTGCTCCAACTAGGCTGCAGCTCCTACTGGTTTATGCGAGGGCTGAGAATGTGCTGGGCAGAACCAGGCTGGACTGCTACACTCATTCGTTCCAGTGGAAGTTGGGGCTGAAAACAGAACCAACCCAGCCATCACAGCCACCAGCTGGTCAGGGTGATGGACTGAGCCGGGCCCTGTACCTGCTAGCACATTCAAGAATTCGGTCTGAGAACACCTCAGACAAAATTTCTTTGAAGATCTCCCCAATTGAAATGCTGGACTAAGAACCCTAACCAAGAAAAGACAGAAGATAGAACAGGTCAATCAACCATCTCAGCTATGTGTTGGTAGCGAAATACGGGGCAAATGGAGACTCTATGATGGACTATGTCAATCGGTGGATTCTTCAAAGACCTCATCGTGCTTGGAGTGGCAAGATTGGCAGCAATTTATAACTGGTGAAATATCAAAACCACTTGAGCAAGAACCTCGGATCATGCCCTACATCCGGTACTTGGGGAGGGTGGGAAATTGGGTGGGCCTTCTCCCTTAATACCCCCCTTTAAACATGAAGGAAACAATATGGAAATAATAGTCTTACCCACTTTCCTATAGCCCTTGAACCTTTTTTCCCTAATTAACTATGTAAAGATTGTCGAAAATATAATAATAAATAAAATTTCATGTTGATTTATAGTAACTTCGAGTGCATTTCTTTGTATAGCTCTAGTGGTTTCTGTTAATATTGTACTAGAGATAAATAACTAGGCCAGTTTAGTGTTATGTCACTTTATCAGTTTGAGTGGAGTTTGGAAATTTTATGTTCCTATATAATAACTCTTAACCACTCTGGTTTATGATGTATTAATTTTTCATACGTCTTGCACACACATTTACAACACTGGAGAATCGTGTTAACTTAACCCGCCCAGAATACTTTGGAAAATTTAAGAGAAGAAGGGAAGTTTGCTACAGTTACTCATATTTTTGTTTCATGTTCTTACTTCTGTACTACCTGTACAAATTTTGTTCTTTTTCATTCTTTTCCTTTTATTTCCTTTCCTTTTTCTTTCTTTCTTAGTTATTAGCAACTATCCTCAGAACTCTTAATGGCTGGTCTTTGGAACAATTACTTATCTTCAAGTTATTTAAAACGGAAAGAGACAGAGCCATGTAGACACAGAGAGATTTTCCATCTGTGGTTTCACTCTCCAAACGCCTGCAGCAGTCAGCGATGGCCCAGGACAGAACTGTGAGCCTTGACCGCGAGCAGCAGGGACCTAAGCATGTGCGACCCACCACCTCTTGCCTGGATGGCTGTGCATTAGAAGGATGCTGCAATCAGAAGCCGAACTGAGCCCCACCGAAACACATCGGTATGGTGTGCAGGTGTCTGAAGTGATCAGAGTTCTGAGAGGAGGAGAGACAGATCTTCCACCTGCTGGCTTAGTTTCCAAGTGGCTGCAATGACCAGAGCTGGACTGATCCGAAGCTATGTAGATGCACAGTCTCAAGGATTTGAGCCATCTTCTGTTGCTTCCCCAACTACAAGCAGGGAGCTGAATAGGAAGTGGAACAGCCAAGACATGATCCACCACCCACATCAAATGATTTTTTTAAAGTGATTTCTTAACACCTTACTAAATATCTTCTTTATTGTTGAAAGACAAAGAGGAAAGAAATTTGGCAGATGTACCTAATTATAGACTACGTACAGGTATTCTAGGCTAAAATACAAAACCAGACCCCTGCGACAAAAACAGCAAAAAGCTGCAGAGAAGGTTATGGCCGTCGTTGGTATTGGAGCACACTGTGACCCTAGAAGGTCGGTGAGCGCAGGATTACAACTGATTGGGTAGTGCTTGTATGAAAACAGCCAAATGGATACCTTTTAAATAACTGATTAGATATCATTTGTATGAGAACAGCTGAGTGGACAGCATGTGTATGAGAACTCTTGGTGGAATATACAAGACAAAAGGACTTCCAAACAAAAGCATAGAAACAGTTGATGGGTTTGTTAATGAGCTCAATACCTCCACCCTTATCTCATATGACCCTCAGTGTATAAAGTCTGATGCCACTAAGAAATTTCAGCTTTCAACCATCAGTCAGAGTCCATGCCTGTTATTATCGGCTCTGTGCACCAAGTTCATCGCTGCGGGACAGTGACAGTATAACCACCCAATTAGTTGTGAATAAATATTGTAAGAGTAAGCATTTCAGAAGTATAGAGAAAAACTCATTTGGAAGTAGAGATAGAATGTTTTAAATTCTTTATTAAAATGACTTCCTGTAAGTGTCATGTTCTTATGAAGACTTGAAGTATATATTTTCAAGTGGCAGGTTCAAAGTCAATGTGGTTTGTAGGGAATGTGTTTTCACCCTTCATACAGGATCCATGTGGGCACTGATTCATGTCCTGGCTGCTTCACTTCCCATCCAGTTCACCGCTTACGGCCTGGGAAACTGGTGGAGGATGAGCCAGTGCTTGGAATCCTGCAGCCCCATAGGAGAACCAGAAGCAGCTCCTGGCTCCTGGCTTTGGATTGACTCAACTCTGGCTGTTACAGCCATTTGGGGAGTTAACCAGCAGATGGAGGATCTTTCTGTCTCTCATTCTGTAAGCCTGTCTTTCCAATAAAAAAAATAGAAAAATCTTGAGAAAAAAAAAAACTATACAAAGAGAAAACAGGGAGAGAGAGCATTTTCTGTCCTCTGGTAACTTCCCAGCTGGCTGGAGCAGGTCCATACCAAATCTAGAGATAGGAATTGATTCCGGGTCTTCAATGCAGGTGCAGGGATCCAGGGGTTTTGACCATCCTCTTCTGCTTTCCTAGGTACACTATTCAGGGAACGGAACTGAAAGCAGGCAGTAGGGATTGGAATGCTGTAACACAATGCTCCCCGATTAATTTTTATATAATCTATGCATCCAGCTACCCCAAGTTTGATAAGACATTCTGGGACATCACCTCAGCACTGATGACCAGGACAACCCAGGGCAAATCATGTATCAGATGCCTACTATTTACAAAGGGAATGGTTATAATTGCTTTTGATAGTTGGATAGATCAGGAATAGCAATTTAAAATTTCAGAAGTAAAAGCATCTTTGAATAGGAAACACTAAAGAAATGTGAGCTATAATGTGACTATCAATGGGTGTTTGGAAAATAATCCAACAGATTTTTCTTTAGATATCTATTTACTTATTTGAAAGTTAAAATTATACCAAGAGAAGGGGAGGTAAAGATCTTTCACACCTTCTGTCTCTCCCCAGTGGCACAATAGTTCTGGCCCGGTCATCCCAAAGCCAGGAGCCAAGAGCCCCTCCCAGGTCTCCCACATAGGTGCAGGGTCCCCAGGCTTTGGGCCGTCCTTGACTGCTTTCCCAGGCCACAGGCAGGGAGCATTGGATGGGAAGCGGGACCCATATGGGATCCTGATGCATTCAAGCTGATAGGCTACCGCACCAGGCCCAGTCTTTTGTAACTTTTAATAATCATTGTGGAACTTACTAGAAATTCAAAGCTATATATATATATATATATATATATATATATACTGTTTATCATAGTGAAGAGCAAAGTACGTAAAGATTAATTGAAATGTACTTAAAAAATAAATCTATATTATGAATGGTATCATGATTATGCAGAACATTTTGTATTTTCTCAGGACCCATGGAATGCATTGCGAATATAAACACGTACAGAAACAAAACTTTTTGTGGAGGTGTTAATATAAAGACCCCTAAAAGTTACAAACTAATAAAAAGAAACCAGAAAAAGAAAATCTCAGCGGTAAACTGACAGCCTGTACACGCTGCGCATGCGCTCAGCGTCCCCCGGGGGAGCGCAGGCGTGGTCTTCGCTCTTCGCCGCCAGTTCCGCCCCGAAAACGCTGCCCTTCGGGTGACGTTACGCGTCCGCGTCACTTCCGCTTCCGGCAACTCACGCTTCCTTTTCTTCCTGTCTGGCTCGAAAGATGGCGTCCCGCAAGGAAGGTACCGGCTCTGGCTCCACGTCTTCCAGCTCCGCCGCCGGCGCTGGAGGGAAGGGCAAAGGCAAAGGTGGTTCTGGAGACTCGGCCGTGAAGCAAGTGCAGATTGATGGCTTGGTGAGTCCGAGTTCCGCAGGCCCGCGTGGGGCGCGCAGGTCCCAGCCCGGTCCGGCGAAACGTGTTTCCCGGCCGCCTTGCCGCCGCTGGGTTCGGTGAGGCTGGGCTGAGGTTTCCCCGTCTCCTTCACTTGTTCAGCAGACATTGTGGGCTTGTCCCGTCTTGTGGCGCCTGAGTTAGGGGCTGAGTACGCCAGGGGTGTGTGTAACAGGTTGTCGGGGCGTGGTGAGAAGTCTGGGAGAAGAGTTGTGGAGAAAGCCTTGCTGCGGCTGCAACAGGTGATGCGGATGCCGGGGAGGCTTTCGCACTCCGGGGTTCGGAAAGTGTTGCTTCGTGCTGGGGTCTGACAGCCGCACCCTCGCTCTCGGTACTCTGGAATCCACAGGTAGTAAGGCGCTCCACCTGAACCCACTGATTGGGAATCAACCCTCGTGTAGTTTACTCTGAACATTGGAAAAGAGGGTCAAAGAGGCTGGCCCGAAATGTAATGGAGGTTCGTGAGCTAAGGACTGAGCAGGGCAGAGGCAGATACGGAATCATGTGAAATTACCGTTCTGCTTTTAAGAAGCCTGACGTTCCAGTGTAAACCAGCCTGCCTCCCTCACTGTTTAAAAAGCATTATCTGTTTTGATGTTTCTCTTCTTAGATCAATATAAAGCTTAGACGTTTGTAATAAGGAAGTATTTTTTTAAAATTAACACGAACATTTTAAGGTTGTGGAGTCTGAGAATTTTAATCCAAAATGTGGTCCGATCTGTTGACATTAGCCAGGTGATTGAAAAGTAGTAGATTTATGGTGAGAGCTGGCAGGTGGTTCCTTGCCACTGAGCAGTTGTCTGACTTGGGACCAGGTGGCCTTTCCAAGCTCTGCTTCATCTTCAGGTGGTGGTGTGAAGTAGGTTTGCCACATGGAGCTGTTTGGATTTGGTGAAGGTGTTTGTGTGGTGACCTGCAGAAGCCACTTGGGATTTTTTGTGAGTTCAGTGATTGGATGGTGGAGTCTGGCTGGTGGAGGAAGAGATTAACTTGAGTGCTCTGTGTGTTTCATTTAATGACTATCAGTGGATCTCTCTTAACACGACATGCACCACTCACAGGTGAGCAGAATGGACAGAAACTACCTTCGTGATAACTCTCAGCCTGTCTCACAGGAACCCAGAGGTTAGCGCCATTTTTAAGATTGATTTTACAGAGGGGAGATAGCACAGAGAGAAACATCTTTCTTCTTCTAGTTAACTCTTCAAGTGGCTGCAAAGGCCACAGTTGAGCTGAGTCGATCTGAAGCCAGAAGTGTTTTCCGGGTCTCCCACATTGGTACAGGGTCCCAAGGTTTTAGGTCATTCTCTACTGCTTTCCCAGGGCCTCCAGCAGGGAGCTGGATGGGAAGAGGGGCCACTGGGATTGGAACTGGTGCCCTTGTGGGATCCTGGAGCATGCCAGGTGAAGATTTTGGCTGCTGCGCCAGGCTGGCATTAACTCTCCATTTGTAACCTTCCCTTCTCTGAACCTGTTTTTTCTTACCATTCTTACTTCCCAATGTGAAACATTTCCTGTGTTTTGTTTTTAGTTCTCACTTTTTCCCCTCTCATGAAGTTAATAGTAAAGACTGAGTATAAACTCCACTATCACAATCTGCCACTACTATTCACCTGCAAGTTGTGTAGAATGATTATAACATTAGTGAAGAACTGTGTAAAATACCATGTAAAATAAGTCATAGTTTAAATAATCATTCAACTTGAGAAATAGGACTTCACTAATATCTTTGTGACTCTTTTCCCTTTTTTATTGGCTCTAGCTGGTCCGATCTGAAACCGGGAGCCAGAAGCTGCCTCTAGGTCTCCGCCGTGGATGGGAGGGCCCAGGGACCTGGGTTGTCATTAGCAGGGAGTGGGATCCCTGTGCAGTAACTGAACTTGAACTGGCGCCCGTATGAGATGCTGACATCACAGTTTCACTTTCACGTAAATGAACGTGCATGAAGTGAAGCATGTATTATCTGTCGTCTTAAAACATCTATACCTTTGTTTTGAAGGAAATGTGCATTGTGGAAGGTCAGTGCTCCGCCTGTGGCGCCAATTTTGAGTTCCATTTCTGATCTGAGTCTCTGCTAATGTCCTGGGAAGGCAGTGGAGAGCGGCCCAAGGCATGTGACAGCCAGAAGCAGCTCCTTGTTCCCAGCCTTAGACAGGCCAGTTCTGCCTGTTGTGGCCATTTGGGGAGTGAACCAGTAGATGGAAGAATTGTATCTCTCTCTCCCTCGCTCTGACTTCCAAATAAAAAGAAATAAATCTTAACAAAATAAGCTTGGTTACTAACTTTTGTTACCTTTTAAAGTTTATTTTTGCTTTTTGCATAGTTAACTTATTTAACATCCTGTTAGTGGACATATCATTACCTTGTGAGCCATCTCATTTTTCTGAGTTTTGTAAGAGTGTGTTATTGATAAATGGAAAAGTCAGAGTTACAGATACATTTTTGTCCTTGAGATGTTAGCTCAGATGTCATGTTTTGGACCATTTTTTACCGTTTTGGGTAATGTGAATGAATGAATGAATGAATATAATGTGTAGAAATTTCCTTGCATATGACTCACAAGAAGCCTAGGTTAGTAAGTGCCTTGTGGATAGTTTCAGGTGTTAGAAGAGAGTGCAGCGTGAGGCTAGGAGACAGGCTAACTGTGAACTTGTTAACACCAGTTTCTTTTCTGTAAGAAAAATCACTCGGGTTAATCGGGGGTTAGTACTTGTGTGCAGTAGGTGAACGTGCGGTTAGATTTCCGGGCTAGGTTTTCGGGTTCTTCTAGTAACTTTGGGGATGAATGCCATCTGCCTTGCCTCAGTGATGCTCCCTCAGCTCTGGTGTGAGTGGCTGGAGGCGCTCTGGGCTGAGGTGAAGAATTCTGAGTTGTAAGGGCCTGGCAGGGAGGGCGGGCAGAGGATCTCCTGAGTCCTTGTAAACGCTGGCGTAGTGGGGCTTACCGAGTAGATGTGAGTCGTTAAATGCCCCGAAATGGAAGCTTTTGTTTGAAATCCTAGTCTCATGTAGAATAGAGTTTGGTCTGTAATTTATTTTAATGTGTTGGCAACAGGAATTTATATGGCCCTTGGCTCGCCCTTTCAGTTTTCTAACTTGGGTAATAACTTTTACATGTGGGCGTTTTCATTTGGATAATTGGAAGCCCTCAGTCACAAGAAATTTTATTTTTTAGACATTTTAGTTACGTCTTTCTGAGGTGTTTTAGTTTTCTGTTTAGTTAAAGGCTGCTGGACAGTTGAAGTGCGTCTTGATGAGTTAGTGTTAAGAATGTAAGTTGTTGGCTCATGCTGGACCGTGATTCTTCAGAGTCCCTTAGAGTATTTAGTCTGTTTTGTTCCGTGATAAATGTACTCTGTCATTGAATTTTAGGTACCTTGAGTAATCATTTTAGGTCATTGCCTTTTTTGTTGTTAAATTTATTTATCTCTTAACTCCTTTCACGTCTAGCTTTTTATTTACTGTGGATGAAAACCCAGTTAAGCAATCTTGTTAGGATTATGTTTTACTTGAGAGTTAAGTATACTCTTGAATGGGGATTAGATTAAGTATGCAATCTGGCAGTTGACTGCTTAGTTATACTTTTTGCTTAGGCAAGTGCGAAGTAATTCCTTCTGAGTAAGTTTTAAAAAGTTATTTTCCAGGCAGAAAAAGAGGACTTGAGTCTGTGCGTTCACTGGGACGTGCCTGCAACAGCTGGAACTGGCCTGTGCTGAAGCCGAGAGCTGGGAAGTCAGTCCAGGTATTGTGCAGAAACGGCAGGAGCCCAATCACTGAGCCGCCTTGTTGCTTCCCAGGGTCTGCGTTAGCGGGGAAGTGGAGTCGGACTGAGCTTGATGTTGAGTCCAGGTATTGAGGTGAGCTGCAGGCATCTTCCTGCTAGGCCAAATGTCTGCTCCTAAGTGGTTTGTTAGAAAAAGCAGCATTTGACATGTGTTATGTCTTACCAGCTCCTGCTGCCTTTGTAGTACTAATGTTAACTGCGTAATGATTCGCCTACTTGGAAGCTGAGTGACGTCAAAGAGAAGAAAAGTTTTTCCTAGAACTTGCGCTCAAAGCAAATCTTGGCACCCTTGATTCATTTCTGTTTTCTGTGATTTTAGCTCCCATATGATTATGGCTCCCAGTGCTGGGAACCAGGAGCTTTTCTGGTTTCCAATGTGGGGCTGGGACCCAGGTGGCTGAGCCGTCTGCTGCTTTCCCAGGTGTGTTAGCAGGGAGCTGTGTCTGAAGCAGTGTGACTAAATTCTAATTTTCTGCTTAGTATTCAAGACTTTAGGAGCTGGGTGAGCATCTCCAGATATTTTAAGTCTTGGGGGCCTTGTTTTGGGTCTTCACTCGGTTCTAGCTCAGACTTAGAGGAGAAAGCCTGCAGAACAGTAACCTTTGGAGAGTCTGCAAGTTCTTTTGTGGCCAGATTTTTCCACCCTTAGACGGTTAAATGAAAGCTGCTTTTGTAGCACCTACATGGAAACTTGGTTCCTTTTTTTTTTTTTTTAAGATTAGCTTATGATTTTGTCTTTGCAACATTTACTATATGATAGTTGGCTATTTTATTTGGGAAGGTATGAAATAATGTACTTAAAGAAAAGATAGGTTTTTTGTTTTAAGTGAACTGATAATTATAGAAGTGTTTTTTAACGGTTTATTTAATGTTCATTTGAAAGCAGATCACAGAGAAAGTGAGGTAGAGAGAGGAGGGGAAGATCTTCCATTTGCTGGTTCAGTCCCGTAATGTCCACTGCTGTTAGAGCCAGGCTTGTTCCAGGTCTTCTCTGTGGGTGCAGGGGCCCAAGTGGCTGGGTCATCATTCACTGCCTCCGCAGTGCAGTATCAGAGCTGCATTGAAAGTGGAGCAGCTGGGATTCAAACTGGCACCCTTATGGGTATCGGGCACCACAGCTGAAGAATGGCTTGCTAAGATGTAGTACTGTCTGCTATAGAAGATAATAAAATGGTTATAA